CCAAAACATCAAACCATTGAAGTCTTAAATTTAATATAAATAATAAAATCAGGCTTGAAGGACTACTTGTTAAAATATATTTCACGAATCTCATCAAATATTGGCGAATGGAAGCTAAATGCAAAGGAGGTTCAAAAGGCTCACGCCAGTGAGAAGAATCTATCGCCATCCAGGCTGGCAAAGAACTACTATTAGAATGCAAAGGAAATTCTCAACGCGTAATCTCAAGGTTAGTACACGACATCTACATTAACAAAACATGACAACAGAATAACCAATAAAAAGCTGCCACTCTCAAAATAAAGAAATTACTCTAAATCTTTGGAGGAAAGTCTACAATTATCTACCACTTGAGAGAATAAAGGCAAGCAATTCAAATATTTTGCTCTCAAATAGTTATTTCCTTTTTTGCTTCAAATTTGAGCATTGAAACTAGTGAGTTTAGGAGAAAAAAAGTCATAGTTAGGTGAGAGGATTTGTTGATTCGATTTTTACCATCAACAATGATCACTGGCGGACCCACATGGGGTCATGTGGGGTCAAATGACCACAAATTTTTTTGAGTTTTCCTCTTTGAGTTTTTTTTTTATCTAAACATTTTTGAATTCTCATTTTTGACTCACAAGAAAAATGGTTTCGGTCCGCCCCTGACAATGATCACAGAATTAAAATGCAACATGGTGAAGTGTTGTTTCACTTTGACTTCCTTTTCTTTTCTTTTCTTCCATATTAGTCATTATATTTTGAGTTTGGCACTCTGTCTATCCTCGTGTACTAAATGAATGGGAATGCTCGTGGTAGTATTAGCGATGACAATTTGGAGTTGGGGAAGAAGATTAAGATTTTTACTTTGTTATGTGTTACATTTTCCTTTTGTTAGTTTGGGAAGGCATATTTCAAAGACAACTAGTTCAACAAGACTTGTTCTTGTCTAGGTGGTATTAGCGATCGCAGTTATTTTAACGGAAATTTTGCTGGATTAAGCTATTTTTAATCTTACTAAATTATGATCGAAAGCTCATATCTAGTCCAATTCTAAATTTTTGTCCACACAAAAATTTAGTTCGAGTTTTGCCCCCGACTTCACTTGCTGAAATATGCTTCACTTCAAAATTTTGCGCGCTAGTCCATGTTAGAAAGTGAAACTCACCTTCAAAATAGCGAGGACATTTTCTAGTCAGTAAGGATTGATTGTGTAGTTATAATCAAAATTAGATGAATAGTTTGCTCACTTTAAAATTTAAAACTAACTTGCTACCCGAGCAACATGCTAGTATGATTAATGCTATTTCCTAATTATTGTGTTAGGAAGGTAAATGTACTTTGTAAGAAAAGTAAATCCTAAGAAAATGTCTTTCTTCCCACTATTGGTATGATCACAATGTCAAAAGTATGTGAAAGTAGAAAAGGTTCATGTCAATTAATGTTTATGCATAAAGTACTTTTTAAATTCAACTTTAACAAAAGTTAGATTTTAGAAAGAAGATTTGCAGCTACTTTTGAAGATAATTTCTAAGACGTCAAATTTGGCATCGAACAATATTTGATTCCCAACTAGTCCCTATTGGGATTACCCTCCTTTCAAGCTCAATCAAATAGTGAATGGTGGGAAGATGTAAGAAGGATACACGAATGCGTGTATCCATTCCTAACAATGAATTAAGTGGTATTTTAAAAATTCGTAGTCAGTCTTCCTAAAAGCTAGTGACCCACATTTTAAATCGATTCAAGTTAATTAATAAAATGATATACAAATAAACTCGTCACTGTGCATTGAATCGACTAGTTGAACTAGCAATTCATTTACTTAGTGCTTTTGTAGGGACAATAATAGAACTAGTTTATAACTGTTTTGATTTATCGCTATTTTTGTCGATAATACATACATACATCCATACATATACAAACATACTTGTTTGGGAGAGATTTTTGGGGGAATAATTGATTTTAAATAGTGATATGATGGGAAATGTGTGGTTGAAAAAGAAGAAAAAATTATTGATATGATGGAAAATATTATTTTATTGAAGAATGTGTGGTTGAAAATGAGAATTGATTTACTGTAGAAAAATCAACTAGTCCCTATTGGGATTACCCTCCTTTCAAGCTCAATCAAATAGTGAATGGTGGGAAGATGTAAGAAGGATACACGAATGCGTGTATCCATTCCTAACAATGAATTAAGTGGTATTTTAAAAATTCGTAGTCGTCTTCCTAAAAGCTAGTGACCCACATTTTAAATCGATTCAAATTAATTAATAAAATGATATACAAATAAACTCATCACTGTGCATTGAATCGACTAGTTGAACTAGCAATTCATTTACTTAGTGCTTTTGTAGGGACAATAATAGAGCTAGTTTATAACTATTTTGATTTATCGCTATTTTTGTCGATAATACATACATACATCCATAGATATACAAACATATATATAAAGACAAAAACCATTGAAGTTAATTGATTTGTCCATTTTGTTTATGGTTTGTAATTTCTAGTCATTGTCAAGAAAGTAAATGAAGTTGAGAATGATGTTTATGAAGTATTTCTTCAATAAAGTTGGTAAGCTATTTTCTTCAAACTCATCATAGTTTTTATATTGCTTCATCCACTTATGGGCAGACCATTTACAGCTCATTTTTTCACTTAAAATTTGAACTTAGCTTAATTTCACTTTTACCAGCACTTGAATTATTAAGATTTGAAATCCACAATTTGTGCAGTCCATTTGAAGTAAACCACTGGAATCAAAATTTAAGTATATTTCAAATATTTTATCGATGCCACATTCAGCGTCTTGTTATTTGCTAACAATAATGAAGTGTCAAAATTTTAGTGGAAAACAGCCAAATGGAGGCAACAAATCTCTACTCGAATTGGAGGTCAAATGCGATTTTATTTCGTTATACTTTCTCATTTATAAAACTTATTTTACTCTCAAAATAGCGCTCCAAGTATCTCCATTTAAATGGCAAATTGGATCAAATGTTCACTGAGACTATCGTTGTTATAAAATTGAAATATCGAAAATTGATTTATTCATAAATTGAAGGTTGGAGACTTGTTTGCACAAATATGAGTATTTGAGAATTTGCACTCTAATTTTTCCTTTGATTTTCAATTAATTTGCCAATTATTACATTTGAAATTGATTCCATGTGAAAAGAAGACAAAAAGAATTGGGTGATGATACTGTGACAGGGCCACGTCACATTAGTTTAATTCCTAAGAATTTCAGAAAGCACGATATCCAGTGTAAAAGCGTCTTCTGGATTCGAACTGTATGAAATTGTACCAACTATGTTCTGTACAGACTTGGTCATACAAGTCTGTCGTATTGAAGTCAGCACTATGTCATCATTTCCACATGCTTAAAGAAATTAACAAATAAAAATTAAAAAATTTAATTGATCATCAATCTTACAATCAAACGGATCCTTAGTGGAAAACGGCCAAATGGAGACAACAAATCTCTACTCGAATTGGAGGTCAAATGCGATTTTACTTCGTTATACTTTCTCTTTCTATTTCCTCTATTATTGGTTTTTCTTAAATTATTTATAAATTTTATTTTACTCTCAAAATAGCGCTCCAAGTATCTCCATTTAAATGGCAAATTGGATCAAATGTTCACTGAGACTATCGTTGTTATAAAATTGAAATATCAAAAATTGATTTATTCATAAATTGAAGGTTGGAAACTTGTTTGCACAAATATGAGTATTTGAGAATTTGCACTCTAATTTTTCCTTTGATTTTCAATTAATTTGCCAATTCTTACATTTGAAATTGATTCCATGTGAAAAGAAGACAAAAAGAATTGGGTGATGATACTGTGACAGGGCCACGTCACATTAGTTAAATTCCTAAGAATTTCAGAATGCACGATATCCAGTGTAAAAGCGTCTTCTGGATTCGAACTGTATGAAACTGTACCAACTATGTTCTGTACAGACTTGGTCATACAAGTCTGTCGTATTGAAGTCAGCACTATGTCATCATTTCCACATGCTTAAAGAAATTAACAAATAAAAATTAAAAAATTTAATTGATCATCAAAGTCAAAACAAACTCAACTGCGGTCAACCCACTCTTGATTTTGACTTTCTTTTTTTTTTTTTCCGGACTTGGGACATAGACTTTCCAATTTGATAAGCAACAATTATATATGCTTGTATGGGTATATATACCTATTTTTAAAGATTCGTTGGTAATAAGTTTTAGATCGATAAAGTAATAGATCGAACAAAATAAAAAAAATGGCTCGTGTTAAGCTTTGGTAGAGCATGAGAATGATTTGGTTAGTTTGCGTGAATTCATGTTTGCACATTAGCATCGTGATGTTCTCATTTGTTCGGTACGTTATATTTAAACTCGACGCATTAAGAATGACCTGCTTACAGAATTTGATCATCGAAGTATTTTAGTAGCTCAGACCAAATGATAGTCTGGTCCGACCCGTCCATGCGTTTTGATCTACATATCCAATTAATCAATGCACCTTTTTTCAGATGGACATTTGTTCTAAACTATATAATAAATAAAATTTTGTATCTTGCAACGCAAATAAAATCTAAATGACACTTTTGAATCTTATACTAAGTCGGTACATATAAAAATTAAATTTTTAGTAGATTTTGATAAAAATTGATGAAATATGTAATTTAAAAAATTGATAGAAAATTATAGATTCTATAAAATATGTGATTAAAATTGAATTTAAGCAAAAATGAAAAAAAAAGACGTTAGGGACTAAACAAAGAAAAAAAAAATTGACAATGGAAGTGTAGAATGTGGGTGCATGTGTCAATAAAAGCTCAAAAGTCGTACAAAATGACTCTTTCCCACTATTAGTCCTCTCTCGCACCAAGAAAACAAACAAGAACCAAACAATCAAAGCAGAGTCCGAAGTCACAAAAATCCAAAAGTTGTCACTCTGGCATAAGATCAATAACAAAGCTTTTGAATTTGAATTCTTTGTTCTGAAACAAACCAAGAAAATGGGTTTTTCAAATTTCTTTATTTTCCTTCTTTTGATTGCATTTGCATCTTATTTGATGAAGCCAAGTTGTGGAAATGCAGAGTTAAGAGCATTAATGGATATAAAGTCATCTTTGGACCCAGAAAATAAGTACTTATCTTCTTGGGTCAGTGATGGGGATCCGTGCAGTGGGGAATTTGATGGTGTGGCATGTAATGAGCACCGGAAAGTGGCTAATATTTCACTGCAAAGTAAAGGGCTCACCGGAAAAGTGTCGCCAGCGGTGGCGGAGCTTAAGTGTTTGTCGGGCCTTTACTTGCATTACAATTCATTGACTGGAGAAATACCCAAGGAGATTGCTAATCTCACTGAATTGGCAGATCTTTATCTCAATGTGAATAACCTCTCTGGTACTATACCGCCGGAGATCGGACGCATGGCTAGTCTTCAAGGTTTGTACCGTGTGATTTTATAGTTTATACGGCCTTGTCTCAAAGCTGGGTTATTACGAGACTTGAACCCAGTTTTAGTTCCCTATAGCGCTTTAAAATTGTTTTATCTTATGCTGATATAGGACTTATGATAGACACAATGACAATTAGTGGTTTAAAATCTGCAATAAGTTAATTGAGGTATCTGGGATGTCTTTGATTTGGACAAATTAACTGTTTATTCTCCAATTTTTATTTTTTTAAAAATAATTTTCTAATTCTTGAAGTTGATAAAGTTCAAATTTGAATTGGCAATCTGCATTCTGGGAAAGTGGTATTATACTTTCAAGATTGGTAATTTTCCAACTCTGTATTATTTATGATTGAAAAATGTTGTTTTTTTCAGTGCTGCAGCTATGTTGTAACCAGTTAACAGGAAGCATACCTAAAGAGATGGGGTTCTTAAAAAAGTTGAGCGTTCTTACATTGCAACACAATAGACTAACAGGGAAAATTCCTGAAAGCCTAGGAAATTTGGGAGGACTTAAGAGGCTATATTTGAGCTTCAATCGACTATCCGGTCCAATACCAGTTAGATTGGTGAATGTTCCCCAATTGGAGGTTTTAGATGTGCAAAATAATAACCTTTCTGGAGTTGCGCCTTCTGGTGAGTTGATTTAATTATATTCATGCATTGTAATGGCCTTGTGTTCTTCTTTCTTTTATCACTTAGGAGCCATTTTAGACGAATATTTCGTAAAAGGTTTAAAAAGATTACATTGTTTGAGGAACTATAGATGTTGTTTGAGTGAAAGATAGTCAACAAGGGCATTCTAGTGTATTGTAGTTGATTAATATTCAAGATTTGTATCATTTGACGAGGCCATGAATAGCTAGAAACATATAGAACTGGTGTTAGAAGTGTGCATTCGATCAGTTCAATATTTTAGATAACATGAATTCTTGGAAACCTGTGGGGCTTCTTGATTGGCGCTGAGTTATTGCCTATTAAAATGTTTTTTTTGCTCTGCAGTTTTTTTCTTGCTAAATTTTCATTTTCTACACATATTTTCTAATTTTTGTTCTTGTTCTTTGTCCTTTGATACTTGTGATGGACGGGAATGAAGCTTTGAGGAGGTTGAATGGAGGATTCCATCCTGAAAACAACCCTGGTCTATGTGGGGTTGGCTTTTCTTCATTGCGAGTTTGCACTGTTTGGGATAATCTAAACATCAATCAAATTGAACCAAATGTACCAAGTACAACTGTTCCTCGAAATATACCCCAATCTGCTAGTTTTCCAATTCCTTGCAACCAACCTCATTGCTCAAGATCCGCATCAAAATTACCACAAATAGGCATTGTAGCTGGTGTAATTACAGCCATAATAGCATTGATGGTCGGGGGATTTCTCGTTGTTTTCCGGTATCGTAGGTGTAAACAGAAAGTTGGGAACACATCTGATACTTCCGATGACCGGCTTAGCATCGACGAGGCAAAAGAAGTCTACAAGAAAAGTCCCTCTTCTCTTGTCGATATCAAGCATTCTAATGGATGGGATGTTGCAATGTCTTCTCAAGATTGCAACGGTATATGTCACGAGTTTCTAAATGTCTTTAAGTTTAACTTGGAAGAAGTTGAATCAGCAACTCAACATTTCTCAGAGGTGAATTTATTGGGAAGGAGTAATTTTTCTGCTGTGTACAAGGGAATTCTGAAAGATGGTTCACGAGTAGCGATCAAAAGTATAAGCAAGATGAATTGTAAGACAGTTGAAGCCGAGTTCATTAAAGGATTAAGCTTGTTAACGTCTCTGAAACACGACAATCTTGTTAAATTGAGAGGTTTCTGTTGCTCGCAGGCCAGGGGCGAATGTTTTCTAGTCTATGACTTTGCTTCAAAGGGTAATTTGTCTCAGTATCTTGACAACGAGGATGATAATATCGATGTCCTTGACTGGCCGACAAGGGTTTCCATCATCAATGGGATTGCAAAAGGTTGGTTTCCTCCTACTCCTATTAATTGTATTTTCACATGGTTTCGAAGATTATTTTTCTTATTAACTGCCACAATTTCACAGCATTGTTTGATTATATCACATATTTACACTTACTCGAGTATTAGGGAGTTTGTCATTCAATAAGCTGGTGGAGCCTACAAAGAACAAAGGACATAGCCCCTTAGCCTTTGTGATTTTGAGAAAATTCCTTGCTATTTCTTCCCTCTTCTTATTTAACAGAAAAATAGGGATTTCTCCAGTTACTTTTTTATGATTTTTGAATTTCTATGGTAATTTACAGATTTTTTGTTTCTTTCTGGGGTCTCCAATTACCCGTACTCCGCTGTTTCCACTTCTCTCTTATATTCTTAATTGAATCAACTGAGTATAGAAGATTGTCCGTTTTCTGTTTCTTTTTTGTCTTTCCATACAAGCTCCTCACATCAACAGCTTAACTTGGCCAATGAATACAGAATACTCGAAGACTACGCTATGTGATGTGCCCAAGTACCATCAAATTAATATTTCTCTTTAGATAGAAATAAATACTTACCATTTAAGAAAATGTAATTCATAACGACTCCAAAGCAATTATTGCACTCACTTCTAAGAGACCAGAAGCAGTTGCAATTAATGCATTCCTTGATGATATTAAATTTGTTGGTAAATGAAGAAGTAGGGGTAAGCATTAGCTTAAGATGATCCTAGAAATGGTCAACACGGCAAAATATTTGTCCGTGTCATCTTTCAAAGTCGGCCTTGCAGAGCATGTTTGCTTAAAATTAAGTAAAAGTTAGCCAAATTATCTGGATTAAGTAAAAAAATGTTGCTTAATTTGAAGTATGGAGCAACACTATTCATCATCTATACAAGGAAAACTTCTACCAGAAACATCTGCAGTTAAGTCAGATGTGTGTGCGCATCTGATATGTTACATTTTGCTGAAAACTGCTCCTTTTCCCATTTAATTGTAAACTGAATATAGTAACAACTCGTGATCATAATTGCTTTGTTGTTTTTGAGAAAATTCCGTATCAATTGGAAGTATATCGGGTCAACACTGTTCTCAGTAACTTCTATTAAATGCACGAACGCCAAATATATTCCTGAATGCAAAATACACTTAGAATATCCTGCAGTTAGTATAAGTTAAATTCTTCTAATGCAATGAAGTCTTCAATTTCTGTAGTCGAGTTCTTTCTGTCAAGTAATGTGGAGTCATTGCTTACTCTTGATACATTCACCTAAGCAACATATCAAGTTCAATTTGATAATGTGAAATACTCTTTATTATATTAAGCTCTAAGATTATTCTTTCTACTCTGGGATGTGTTAATGTACCAAACAGGTATAGAGTATTTGCACAGCAACGAACCAAACAAACCTCCCACCATTCACCGAAACATATCAGTGGAGAAAGTCCTTGTAGACGAACAACTCAACCCGTTAATATTGGATTCTGGTCTTTTGAAGCTCCTTGCCGATGATGTTGTTTACTCAGCCCTCAAAGTCAGCGCTGCATTTGGATACATGGCTCCTGAGTACATAACTACCGGTCGTTTCACAGAGAAGAGTGATGTTTATGCATTTGGAGTGATCATCCTGCAAGTCCTCTCTGGCAAACGAAAACTCGCAAGCCTAACAAGACTTGCAGCTGAAGCTGGAAAATTGGAAGATTTTGTTGACTTGAAACTCAAGGGCAAGTTCTCTGAGTCAGAGGCAGCCCAGTTGGCAAAAATTGCTCTCGACTGCACCCATGAGCTTCCAGACAGTAGACCAACCATGGCATCAGTGGTTCAAGAGCTGAGCAAGCCAGGCGATGTTATTTAGTGTTCAAGCACTTGTGCTTTCACTTTCAGGAACTACTGAGAATGTTGCAGACTGGGTCCTCTTGTATATCTCAGTTCAGGTCAGGCAATTCTGATTATGTCTTGGATCAAGTGCACATGCGACTACATTTATACAATCGGGTAGTTGGTGCAGAAAGATAGAAGAGATGCAAGAGTCTAGACATTTGGGCACGGAAAGCTTCGCATACTTTTTTATCTTGTACTAAGGCATGAGTACAATCGTACAAAGAAAATCTTTATTTCGGTCTATATATAACTGAAAAATTACAGAAAAAATGAAAATATAGACTTTGTCAAACTAACTTGTGCTGAAGACTCGTAGCTCGATAAAGGTTTTAGCTCACCAAAGCGGGGAACACGATTGAAACTTATTTGGTACAATGAATCGACATAATTAAGAAGATATCAATTTCCATTTAGTTTCAACGAACAATTTAATTCGATTAAAACTAAAAAAAAAAGAGCACACGAATTTTAAGATTGATTTGCTCAAACAAGTCATCATCTTGCGGGACATGTTAAAGGATAAGATGAAAATATAAATCAACATATTAGAGTTTGAGGTACTCCTCATAACTAATTGATTTTTTAAGACGGAATCTAAGTCTTAATACCCTCCATCCTATCTCACCCAATTCATCCTTGGAGCACATTAGAAGAGCAAGGGCTTTGGAAATTTCATATAATCTATTTTTTTTGTTGTCGTATTCACAAATTCTTCTTTTTCTTCCTATAAAAAGATAACTTACTTTTTATATGTTTAATCAAAAATCTTTTTCATAAACTTTAAATTCTTAAATTTTTCTTCCTATATAAAAAGATAACTTCCTTTTCATAAGTTCAATCAAAAATATTTTCATAAACATTAAATTCTTAAACATTTATTTATTTTTCTAATCAACTATTCACGTTTAAATTGCTACTAGGTTTTTTTTTCTAATGTGAATTTTTGGCATTTCATGATGAACACTATCTACCCTTGCAATCATGTGTGTAGACTTGTTCATCATTCAAACGTGTGATGTAATGTGACGATCTCACCAACTAATCAAAATGAGATGTATAGTTCAAATTCAATATAATCTAGAAATCATTGATTTATGTGTCAGTGATATCACTGCTATGCACTACCATAGTGTAATGTAAACATTTCATAAAAATATGAATTCAAAATATACTGAGTAATGCAACAATAATGCCACATAAATTGATGATGATCTAACCATTATTGTAGAAACCCATTTGTCCGATATGTACAATCATTGAAATTGGACGGACACAATCGCCTGGTTCTTCTCTGGGCCCACTTTTTTCATTTTTTGATCAATTCAACGCCTTTTTGATCTATCCATATACAGTGGGCTAACTGTAATCCATAGCACGTAGCATTCTCTCAACTTCAAATGCATTGAGGAGTAATAGTTGACTAAATATATGATATTATAATGTGAAGGGAAAATTACCTTCAACCTTACAATTAAATATTAGTTTTCGTAAGCAAGAGGGTTGAGTTTAAAATTCAAATTTCAGTGATAAATAAAATTATTGTAATTAATAAATTTAATTAAATCAAACAATTTCATTTTCAAACCTTATCATTTTCCCAATCCCTCTCTCTCTCTCTCTCTATCGCCTAGTCACCTGCCCCACCTTTTAACCTTTTCTCTTTCATCGTCCTTACTCTTCCACTGATCCCTCCGACGACAAACCTCATTCCTCCACCACTCTTCCTTCTCTCTTTACCTACCCGTCTCACCCCTCACCCATCTCCAACATCACCGACCGCGTGACGCTTCTTAAGTCGGTGTGTAGCAGCGCTCAAATCTACTTGCAACACCAGCAACGGCAAGAAGCTTCGCGGCCACGGGCGTTGCTGCAAGCTAGGTTGATTTTTTTTTTTTCATTTCACAAAGATGTTGTTCTGATCTTCTTGGGATCGATGTTGTTTCATGAAGATGTTGTTCTGATCTGTGATGATCATCATACCGATAAGTATGGAAGTAGTGCCAATCGACAAAGGCATCGTCGAATTTCATTCTTCTCTTGTTCCATTTCTCTTTCTGCTTTGCATATAGCAGAGAAATGGTTCCACTATGATTCCATTCCCTTTTCTGCTTTGCAAATGGGGAGATAAATTGTTTTAGTTTTTAATGCCTAATTTTTGTAAAAAATTCTTAATCGCCTTATTTTTCAAGAAGCTACAACACCTAATCGTTGTATGTGCAAGTAGACAGACACTGCTTCCTGGTAATGGTGTGTACAGTGGTAGGTTATGATAGAGGTGGTGTTATTGATGCGATGTGCATTGTGTGCAGTGGTAGGTTATGGATTTGTCAAGGATGGTTTGCAATGTGGATGGTTGTGGGTATGTTGTTTATCAATTTTGTCTGTTTCAACATAATTTCATTTTCAACAAGTACAAAGAACATGGTTCTGCTTAATGGGTTCTCCGGGAGAGATTATTATAAAGCTTTCAAGATAGTTGAGAAACTCAGAAAGGGAAAAAGTTGGCAATATAAGAAAATGTGAAATTAATGGAATTTGTTAAGTAATTATATGGGTGGGGGGATTGTATTTACAAAAATTAATGGAATTTGTTAATCGTGATCGATTGTGACTGGTTGTGACCAATTCTATGTTAATTGTGACCGATTATGACTCGTTGTGACTAATTATATGTTAATTATGATTGATTGTGATTTGATCATATACCGTCACAATTAAGACTGACTTGGTCACAGACAGTCACACTGAATACAAATTTAGTCACAAGTAGTCACGGATGACATGTGATTTGATATTTTTAATTTTCGAAAAATTTTTGTAAGGTAAGGTTGGGGTAGGTGGATTTATGGATTGTAGGTGTGATTTCCATTTTTTAATTTTATGGAAATTTTTTGAAAGGTAAGGTAGGGTAGGGTAGGGTAGAATGGGGTGGGATGGGATGGGGTGGGGTGATTTTCAGATTTGAATTGAAATTTTTAGTGGGGCGGGGTGGGGCGGGGCGGGGGTAGTGATAACTAATTATATATTATATATATTTAATTGAAATTAACACCTGGATTTTAAAATAATTTAACAAGTTTGTTAGTTTTGAAATGTGATTTTAATATGTAGGATTTATGTATTGTTCCCTAATGTGAACCGTCTGGCCAAACACCACTGTCAAGGTTCAAGAAGCCTCAAATTTTTTTTTAAAGCTCAAAACAACTAGAATCAGTCTACAAGTACATGAAATTTGTACATAAATTTGAAATGGACAACACAGATTCAAAGATGGAAAAAAAATACACACACACACAAATGCACAGGATGCTGCCTAGAAATTTTGTGAGTTATTCCCTGTACTTAGGGAATAACTATACCTTATAAAATGTGCAAATGCTAATATAAATTTTAATTTCAATTTTACTAACATTTTTTATTCTGAAAGTACATTTAAGGGAAAAATGAATAATTTTTAATAAATAAAAATAACATAAATTAACTTGATTATTGGAACATTTCAGGACTAATTAATGGGCAGTTTAACGAACTAAAGAATTTAGAAATTTCAAGAAAACTAATTAGTTACAATAAGATATTTTTTTTGTTGTTTTATATAATACGTATTATATATGATATATAAATTTTTTTGTAGTATATCATAAAATATTTTAATTTAATGGGTAAATATGATTTTTCTGGACATGAAAATTGATTGTCAAACCAATCAAATGGTGAACGAGTACCATAGGTCTAATATTTTCTATCATGAAAAATTGTTTAATTCGACCACGTTTGATGCTAAAACGCTCGTAAAAAAATTAGTTGTAGGGGCCTCATGATAATTTTTCATATACAGTCTCAAAATTTTCAGGGCGGGCCTAGTGAACCGTGAAAGTAGTATTAAATGCAAACTCTAAACATATATTTGGATTTTATTTTATTCTTTAAAAGTTACTTTTCAAAATTTTAATTCTAACCACACATTTAATAAGATCCAAAAGTACTACTGCTCACTTATTCACAATTCATTTCTTGAAATGTGATTTTTCAGTAAAAAAAGGAAAAAGAAAAAGAAGGAGACTTGAACATGTGCTAAATATTGGACACGATCTTAAGCTAAAGTGATAAAGGAGGTAGATGTCAACTCAAAATGTTTGCTTAGAAGTAGCTACACCTTGAAAGATTGTGTTAGCGTGCTTAGAAGTAATTACACTTAAAACTATGTAGGTCAATGATCAACGATCTCATATCGAAAATGAAAATGGATAAATTTATATAAGGTTCAAATAATAAATTTGCGTACTCTTAATTATATTTTCGAATGTGACAACAAGACAAGCTAATACAGTCATTCCTCATCTTCTAGTCCTTAAGGAAGGGATACTTTATGATAGACACGCTTGTTTTGTGCTATCCTTACAGTTGGTTAGTCAGTAGAATAGATTGCTTGGCAAAGGAAGGCCAATTATCGACAGAGGCCTCGAACACTACAACAATCTAATTGCACTTTGAACTTTAAGTTGCTCAAGCGGGAAAAAATATATATTATAGCAACGTTTCGTGCTAGAGTAGACAACAACATACTTAATGGGTCGTTTGAAGAGCTCAACGAATTCAAGCCTTCCCTTTCCCTTGAGTCAGGGGCGGACGCAGAAGTTAAAAGTTAGGGGGCACAATTGAACTTGCAAAGAAATTGAGAGAAATTTTACAATCGAAAATTTACGTCCAAAAAAATCATACCCCATGTAATTTTGCATCCGAAAATTTACATGGGATATGACTTTTTCAGATGTAAAATTTCGAAATTTTTTTATATCATGTTTCATATAATAAATTTACGTCCAAAAAAATCACATTCCCACGTAATTTTGCATCCGCAAATTTATATGGGATATGACTTTTTCAGATGTAAAATTTCGAAAAAAATTTATGAGATATTCCATATAAAATTTCCTGATAAAAGGATGAAAATTACATCGAGAAATTTGTATTGCAAAAATAATAAATGTCAATGAAATAATTGAATTTTTTAAAAGAAAATACGAGTTAAACGTCTTTCTTTAAAATTCGCGTTTAACGCATTTTTAACTATTTTCGATATCTGTTTCGATTATTTGATATGCTTATAATGTGGTTCTTGAAATAAGTTTTGAGATGACATAAAAAATTTGTAGATTCGATTAGTATACGATCGTCTAAGCATATTTTTAAAGTCGTAGTATTTGCTACGATTGATCGTTTCGTATGTCATTAACGACGTATAAAATTAGACCGTGAACACTTCGAAATAGTATTAAGAATGAAATATTTCACCCTTGTTTGATGGCACGTTTCCTAATAATATTTTTTATAAGTATTATATAAATCAACACCTAGTTTAGATTGTTCAAACTTGGGTCTATCAACTTAGAAATTTAACAAATAACGAAATTGTTTCTAATTAATCAAATTGATTCTAGTCACATCAACATAGTATTTAATGAATGCTTATTAACTCATCAACAATATCAAATATGAATGCGTTGTAATACCAATCCCCACGTTGGATTTGGGTGGATCAATTGTCAACGGATTGACAAGAACTTTTCCAAGACGAGTTTGTCTACTTTAAATACAAGATTTTACACATATTTCATTGCATCATTTGGCATTTCACCTTTGAAGAAAAGAGAAGTATAACTTGAACAACAAGAAAGGGAAGAATAAATACAAATCAAGAACAACGAAATTGGGGAAAAAAGGGAAAAGATGAAGCTAGTTTGGTCTCCAGAGACGGCCACCAAGGCTTATCTCGACACCGTAAAATCAGTAAGTTCAACCATTAAACTCATCCCAATATCACTAAAAGGTTGTGGGATTAGCCATGGATTTTCCGGTCGTTGATTCCAACAGAAGATCCGTGGAAAAATCTGTCGGTCAAGTTTATTTTTCAGGAAGTGATATTTAGCCATGGAAATAATATTCCGTTGGCTGGCGATTACTGATGGAATTCCTTGCAGAAATATTCGTCCTGATGCCTAATTATAACTCGTTGAAGGTCTTAATGGGTCAGTAAAATTGTAGCCAAGTCATATTGGGTCGATTTAAATGTCGTTGTTGGCGCTTTTTTTTTTTTT